TTACACTCAGCTTTCAGGCTTTTTGATTGGGCAATCATATCAAGCTTTTAGACCTACCGGAAAGTTTTTTTATTCAGACTTTGATGCATTTTTGCTGGTTTTTATAGGTTACTATACAGCATAAGAGTGAGTATGGAGTCTCTGCCTCAGTGTTTATTTCTAGATGTAGCACCGCTTCAGTGGGAGGATTAGAGTGAAAACAGTTTTGAAGTTTATGGTATCCTGATGAAGTTCATGAAGAACCAATAAATCTAATATGCTGTTGGTCCCCTGCAAAAGTTTGGGTGCACCTGGTTAAATGGCATGTTTTGCTGATTTTCCTAGTGATAAGTGAACACATCCTCTACAGACAACAGACTTCAGCACATTTTAATGCACAATTCCTGTTTATTTGCTTAATTTAACATATTGGGAAAAAAACAATAAAAATGTGGATTGTGTAAAACTTATGGCACATTTTTAGTTTTTTATGTTTTATTTTTTCCCATATGTTAAACTCAGCAAATAAACAGAAATTGTGCACTAAAAATATAAAAATGAGGAATCTGAGAAAAGTACACTTAAATATACTATTTATCTGTTTAACTGTTCAGAAAAACCACTTCTATTAGAATAATATTCATACAATAAGTGATTTTAGGTGTGTTAATGTTTTCACTTAACCCTTTTCCAACCTCTCCTCATGGTAGACCAGTATTAAGTGTATTTATCATCCAATATCTGGCTTGGCCAGTCAGTTTGAATATATATTGAATATATATACATCCTCACACACACATGTATATATCTATATGTCTGTGTGAGTGTGTGTGTGGGATGGTGGAATAACTGCTGGAACAGGCTTTAATGGAGCTGCACAGTGCGGCTGCAGTGGCACCAAAATGAATCATGCAGTAGATCACAATCGTTGGACAGATGCCACAAAAGTTCTGAAAGGCATTGTTCACAGAGGACAGAACATTGCTGTGGGGGTGATCAAAAGGGCAGCTAAAGCTGGAGAAGAGCTGTCCCTATCTCAGGCTAAGTGTCAGTCCTAATTTGACTGAGACAGACATGTTGAGCCCTGTGTTTGTTGTGGGGAGCTTGGAGGGTATGCAGACGACCTTAGTTGACTCAGATTGCACAGCATATGATGTAGAGGCTGTTAAACAGGATCATTGGAGTTAATGCTCATGTCAGTTCTGATCCCAACTTTTATTCCAAACTGTCTTTTTGTCTACTAAAGGAAGCAGTCTTTCACTGTTTTGTAAAGGCTCGCTCATATATATGTTGATTTCTCTATTTATAGATATGGCAAGATAATTACCACCTGTGTGTTTAGCTTTAGTTTTCCGTGCAGCAGAAAGAAATCTGTCACTGAATTGATTTCATTTTGTGGCATGCAGAAAAGTCAATATGCTACAGTAGGAGGTAGATGCTGGCGAAGGGCCAGTATTATAATGAGTACTGTTTTTGAGCAAGGAGAACAGATTCTACAGCTGAGCAAGAGACTTGATTAGTTTGAGAGGGTCTGTATGCGGAACACTTTCTTAATGACACTAATATACAAAACAGTACCAGTCGAAGGTTGGATCAAGTCTGATTGTATGTTTCATAATCTTAAAGATAATTTGATGTAAAGCAGTGCCCAGGCCCTGTACCGGTCATCTACCACCTTGGACAATTTAGCTCCAACACACCTGACTGTAATGTTAATGACCTCCTGAAGGCCTTGACTGTATGAGGTGTGTTATATTAGTGTTGGAACTGAACTTTCAACAGAAGTGCATCACCAGGACTAGATTTGGGCCCCATAATCTAGACCTTAAACAGCTCCTTAAACTCAACATGTATTGGAAATCATAGTGCATTTGTATTCCATACCATAAAATTTTTAGACAATACAGCACGAGAAGAGAATGTGTTATCATGAATAACATCACAATTGTGTTGAGCTACAGCACTCGCATTTGGCTTGTGCCAGCAACCAAATCACAAGTCATGATGTTATTCATGAGAACACACTCTGTATTGCTTATCTACAACAGTTCTGCCCAAAAAAGAAAAAATATAATCAAAGAAGCGCCGAACATTTTATCAGATGTGTTTTAAAACTGGTAATTCCTTCTGTCAAAAAAGCAGTGGCCTTTTGCGATACGGACAATATCAGGTTCAGCTCAGTTTTTACAATATTCACCACATTAACCTGAATGACATTCTATAACAGCATTTCACAGCCCATCTTGTTTTGCAGAATTTGTTTTCTGTTCATTTCTGTCTAATTCCAGGTTGTTTAGCTGTTCACGGGTCACAGTTCAAGAATGAAAAACTTCCTATAATTCCAAAAATAGGAAACAACAGGTTCTTAATTTGAGGTAAGACTGCCTCTTCATCAGAATCTGACCAAATGGCCCACCCCTCAAATATTGTTTAATAGAATTCTTTATTGTGTCCATTGTCTGTTTACTGTATGTGCAAAAGTGCAAACTAACAATGGTCATCAGTAGCATAAAGCACATTGTTACTTCCAAGCTAAACAAAACAGCATGGACCAGCACAGCATGCTGGACAGCAAGAATGGAAGGTATTATGCTGCTTTTTTTACAGGGTTGTAAAAGGTTGTTAAATGACTTCATAGTGCACAGCACTTGCTCGTCCTTCACTGAGACAACAGAGTATGCAGATTACTATAATTACAGGACTCTAACTGTAATGAATGGTGTGCTGATTACTGCACTTAACTTCAGGTATAATATAATATGTGTATATTATATAATATGTGTATGTATTTTACTATTATTACTGTCTAATAATTATAATATATTTTAATATATTTATTTCACATTCTTCTTTGTATTTATTAATATGATTTTTGCTATTTCATTGAGTATTTTTATTTTTATTATTATTATTATGATTATTATTATTATAACAAGATTTCCATTCACCTCTCATGCTGTGTATAAAGCCAACTTATTCAAGACTGTTGGAAAAGCACTGTGGCTTCTCATTAAGCTTCTTGAGAGAATGGGAAAGATGAGGTTATTTTGAAGAATATAAAAACGTTTTGATCCCTAAAGCACTCTTCTGGTTACTGCATAAAGTGGACCGTCTGCGACCGTCTTCTTCATTTACTCATTTTAAGACATACTGTTGAGTAACCACCGTTAATTATTTGGTAATGACCTCTAGGTAAGTTATGTAGTTGAGAGTGAACAAATATTGCCTAAACAAAACTCTAAATATAAAACATCACACTAAAACAGAGCATTTCATCTGTATAATTTTGTATTCTGATAAACATTGTTAGACATTGTTAAGATCTGAAGCCGAAAGTCTCTAACAAATGTTTTTCATATACAACATTAAGCTTGCGTTGGGCTGGTTTTCAAATAAGTATTTTTTTTTATGCACACTCTGAAAACTGTTTTGAAGTTTTAACTTAAAAAGGGTATGTGTGTCAGTTTGAGGAGTGGGTGAATGCGACCATGAATGAAACCATGGATGATGAGAACTACAAGATTCAGGGCTGGTTAAAAAATATTCAGGCTATAAAGGACTAAGCCTTTCCTGAATGTTCCTTTTTCATACAGAAGTATGATTGCACCACCTGTTTAAGCTGTTTTTTGGACATTTAATGATGGTCTTAGTCTTATATCAATTTCAGATATAAGTATAAGCATATATGTATAATTAAACAATTAAACAAAGCATCCAAAGATTTTAGATATACAGTACTGCGTCAAAGTCAGACCCCCTCCCTACCACAGTTTACTTATTTCCAGTCAAAACAGTGCATGCTATATACTTTTTATCTTCAGCAAAATATATATTTGAATAAACATTATACAGCATTTAGTGTCCACCCTTTACCTTTATTGCAAAGTTTTTCCAAGTTCAGCCTTAGACGTTGGTTGCATTCTCTGCTTCTCATGATCAAATAATCTCAAACATATTCAGTGATGTTGAGGTCTGGACTCTAGAGTGATCTGTCCATTGTCCTGAGAACACCAGCAGCTTCTCTGTTTGATTTGCAAGTTTTCATCTTTTTTGTCTATTACCTTTTCTCAGTAATGGCTTCTTAACAGCTACACATCCTTTTCATAGTGTTCAGTTGTCTTCTCACAGCAGAAGGATGGACAGAAACACCTGTGGACTGAGAGTGGAGCTTGCTTTTCTCCTCTCTCTCAAAGATAAAAGCTAAGTACTGTTTATCTGATGGTCTAGCGTTGTTTGATTTGTTAATCATTTTTTGAACTAATTTATTTCACTAAAAAAGGAATAACCTGAATAATTGTAATTTAAACTGGAAAATAAATCAATGAAGGGTGGTTTCTGGCTTTTGCACAGTACTGTAAATCTCTCTAATACTGGGGCTCTTTTCAGCATCACTTCTTTGAAAGCATGTGCCATTTTTGGCACTGTTAGAGCTCAGGATTATGCTACATCTGTTTACCAGCAGTATAAGCAATTAAATGGTGTCATATGTATGAAAAAATAATGTTAAGTGTGGAACAGACTGGTTCAAAATTCCAAAAAGGCAAATGCAAAAATGCACAAAAGTATGTATTAAATTTCAATCCATAAAAAGAGAACAAAGTTCTTTGCATATACAGAATATATAGAGTAACTAATTCTAAGCCATATCTATTCATTATTTCTATTTTTAACTTTTTTTGACTGACATTATGAAAAGTTAAAAGTTAATGCAACATCATGATTTCATTTTTATATCAAAGTTATGTTTTTGCACTCATTTTCCTTTGATGTCCCTCTTGCAAGTGGATTATTTTGTATCTAATTTTCTCAGAAATATCTCCTGAAAAATGAACGCCTTGTACTTAATGGGTGTTTTGACTGGAAATTAAATAAATGAAGGGGGGTCCCTGACTTTTGCACAGTACAGTAGTTCTGATTTGTTTTGGTCACTGCATAAAGTGGACCTTTATAAATATCACAGCATCAAACATGTCATAGAGCAAAGCACTGTTAGAATTCTAAACCTCTCTTCTTTCTCTTACCCAGTGAGATTTTTTCGCCAGAATCAGCAGGCAGCAGGAAGATAAGCAGGGTCATAGAGGAGAGGAGCACGCAGGGAATGAGGAGGTTCAGGGCGTAGTAAAGCGTTCGTCTGCGGATGGTCACCACGAACGTCACGTCTGGGTACGGCTCTTTACAGCAGTCATAGAAAATCTCGTTCCTTGAGCCAGGCACACCTGAAGATAAGGAGCAGAGAAAAGCTGCTGAAACATCAACTTGACATTCATGGCAAGATGTTGTAGCTGTGGTTACTAGCAAGGACAATGTCACTGAATTCATAACAAACAAGATCAAAAGAAAAAGAGGTCACATTTACATTTCAGGGGGTGGTTTGAAATGCATCACAGCTGATCAAATGTACCGGTATCTTCATGCCCAATATGTAATCTTCAAACTTCCCAAGTAAAACTACATTGTTAGTAAAAATTAACTGTGAACAAAACTACTGCTCCTTTAAACCGTTAGCATCATAACAAATGGAGTCAGTTCCTTCATTTAGTTCTTGTATAATACATGACTGCATGGAACACAGTCTTGGCATGGCATCATCTCAAGAGATTCCAGAAGAGAATTTGGCAGATTTGCATGTAAGGCGAGAAAAGCAGCACAGATGCTAATCGGATTTGTATCTGTCTTATGAAGAATTATGTGGCCAGTAGAGGTTTAGAGAAGAGGTTAGAGAAGTCAGATTCTGAATTCTCTGCAGTCAAACTGGCTGAAAGCTGGTTTTTGGCTGATTTTCATTAGGCTTTTTTTTAAGCTCACACAGTGTGTATTCAATGAAACATAGTAGCACTTTCCACTACTTTCTGTTAGCAAAGGCTGCAACATTAAAGAAACTGGTCTTTAATAGGCCAGACTGGCATTTCTATTCTTATGTCTACACGTCCATTCGCAAATTTGCATTGCCACATCCTATTCATTCCATGGAGAGGTCTACTGGATCCACATGATGCATGACAGGTGCAGAGCACAGCAAAATCTGCCTCTAAAAAGTTCAGAAAATTTCAACTTAATGCAAAGAAGCCCATCCTCTGCATTGCATTTAGCCAATTGGGCAAGGGTAGACTAGTCTTCATCACAAATGGCACAAATAAACCATCCTCCGAAGGCAGAGAGGGGACTTCTTCTTTTTTCCATGATGGTTCACCATGAAGAAAAGTCCTGGATTTATAAATACTTGCTGACAGTGAAAATATGAAGGAAAGACGTTTGACTGGATGTAATTTACATAGTTTACACAGCAGGAAGGTAAAATTAGAATCATACAGAGCAATATGGTAGAAGAACAGCCAGAACATTTAGAATGTAGTGGCCAGGAAAGACCCAGAAATCTTACTGGGGTGGCACACGGCTAAGAAAAAAAAGAGCTTTGGCTGACTGTCTCAGTTTCCATAACTAGAGTGGCCATGCTTCATTCCAGGAAGGCACTGGCCACCCCTTGGCTGCGCCTCTGTGCTAAGGTTACTTGCTAGTAGCTCGTGTGGATGACTGATGAATTCTGAAAATTATAATAGCACATAAGGAATGATATTTTTCTCTCACTGTAAGCTTCTATGTAACATTAAAACAATTAAAAAACAGCAAAAAGCCTATGAGACTGTTCTGCTGTCCCAGATATGTTCCATACGGTTCCTTCATTTCACTAACAGAAACAATATAGAAATGCCCACCAATGTCAAGCAGAAGGATGCAGCGCAGCGGAATACGGTGAGTCTGAGTGTAGCAGAAGCATTCAAATACAGCATGAGTGCCTCATGTTATTTTTCTCACAGAATGGCGGAAAAATTATTTGATTACATGTTTGGAGCAAAAATCTGCAGATTACATTCTTGGTATTTCCATTGTATACCCATAAAGGTCAAGTATGAAGCCAGGCATACACTGTGTGATTTTAGAAATCTTGTTCTTTGGTGAGAACTCACACTGCACAATTGAATAGCACAGCATGTACAGCCAAAACCTATGATTTGGTCAAACTGTCCAAAACTGATATGCTACAACGTGGGTGCTCACACTGCACATAAACACAACCCCTACAGACAGCTCTGCCTACGGACAATTTCGATTTCAAGCTGTTTTATTCAAAACAATTAAAAATATTGAGAAAGCTACAGCAGTTTTTCTAACTTGTGCCACAATGTGCATTGAAACCAAAGCCATAAAACTGCTGTATTAACTAACTATATCTTACAATTCATCAAACAGAGCTAAGATGGCAAATATTGATTTGTAATGTTGTTATCTATAAAATTATAAGTGTAAATAGGCTTATAGAGTACTATTAAATTTGTATGTGAAACTGATTTTATAATTGTGAGACTCTACTGGAAACAAGACAGGTTTGCCTCACAGTGGAAGCCTAGATTGCTTCCAGAGTAGTCGTCTATATACCCACAGAGTTCTGCCTTAGTGTTGCTCCATGGATGGTCTTAAATTGTTCACGTCCCCTCAGACCTCTCAGCTTAACAGGCGCACCATTGATCTTGACTCTTTTCTATAGCCAGAAGTAGAACTACACCCTGAGGTATTTTCCATGGCCCTGTGAGCCGAATCCTCAACAACTGCTAATTTCTCAAGCGTATCATGGTGGAAGGAGGCTAAAAAGGGGGGGACTAAAGGGAAAATAGGATTTTTAACATTTAGCTAAGAAGTGAGGGCAGGAAAAGAGGTGAAAGCAGCAAAGGAACTGAAGGCTCAGTGAGGGATGACAATAACAGAAGGCAGCTGGCTTGTCAAATGAAAGCATAGAAAAGAACTGAAGAATGATACAACAAAAGGATTAGCACAGTGTTTCCCAACATATGTCCCTGAGACCCACCTGCGCCACAAAGTTTCATGTTTTGATAATTTGATAACAAGCTAATGATGCGCCTCAAGTGCAGATGGGCCTCCAGGATGGGCTTTAGGAAACACTGGATTAGCAGATGAGAAGAGAGACAGAGATGTGCAGTATTTGAGTTTTTTCCTCATCGACTTCCACTTAGCCTCTTAATTCAATTGAACATAATCAAATTGGCCCCTGGCAGATCAGATACAGCAGGAATGATTGTGGGCTTAAATGTAATGGGGTGGATCAGATGGTTTTATGTGCTGTATGGAAGAAGCCTTTGCTTTGCAGGAGCATCCTCTATTCTCAGCGGAGCCTCAGTCAGGTGTCATACTCGATGCGTTTGTGCTTACTCCAGTGGAAACGGCTCACGACATTTGTGCTTACTCCAGGGGGAACGGCTTGTGGCACATTCATTCTTTTGATCAGGTCCCACTAAACCTGCTTAAATACATTATTAATAAAATAACAATGAGCTGAGTCAAACAACATAAGTGCTGGGGACTGTAAAAGTCTCTAACACCCACACACAAACATATCTGGGTCAATTAATGTCTCAGGATATCATGAACCATAAGCACATGCCTCAGGCAAAACTGAGCTGAGAATATTTCAGACAAATTGCAAACACAAAAAAATATTTAACATATTTTGCATGCAGCTTAGTCTCGATTGCTGCTTTCATTAGTTCTGCACTGAATCAGTACAGCGTTACAGTAAAACTGTGTGAAGCAAGACTGATTGGTTGAGCAGACTCTGCACTGGGAAAGCAAGACATGATTCACAGTAATAAAACCAAAGCGCTGTATTTTTGCAACATGTCTAGTTGACAGTGTTGCCTGGAAATTAAAGCTTGATAGATGTATTGTTATAGGTAGATGTTGGTGATGGTTTTATTTATTACTATATTGGCAAATATATTACATATAATCACAGCTAATTAACTGTCATTGTGGCATTCCTGCAACATCCTAGACTACCTAATAATATCAGTAATAATAACAGTTGGGCAACTTGGGAGCCCCGAGCAAAGTCACCCCCTGAATAAGGGGCCAATAACCAACAATTTTCTTGTATTTTATTTTCTTTCCCTCTGGGTTTACATAGCAAAATCAGTTTATTCACTTTACATGACCATTTTCCAAACTCTTTATCCCTTAGAATTAAACAGCCAGTTTTTGTTACTGTGCTTTTAAGACTGATACATGTAAATGACCTCAATTCTGATTGGCTGTCCAGTATTGTGCCTAATTTAAAAAAAATCAGTCTGTACTGAAACACTCCTTATAACTTCAGTGTGAATGGGCGGAGCTAAACTGCTGTAGGCTGAATAAGTGGATGTATATAAATGTGTTGGTTTTCGTGACATCACGAAAACAACCAAAACAGACTATCTGTGCAGTTTAGTTACCTTATGTAGACTGTATGGACTGAAGAGTGAATGCTACGTTTTGAAACTTTAACAAGGTTTATACACCTGATACCTTAGATATTGTTTTACAATAGGTTTGAGAAGGTTTTGGCCTAAAACATATATTTATTTAACTCAGTCATGGCAGAGGGATACATATATGTTGTGGTGAGGCCCAATTGTGTCCAAAAATTCTTGTCACTAGTCATTTTTGATCGTGAATGAAATGACTGTATTTGTGTTGTAGACATTGCCACCCAAGGTTCGTATCACCACCACTGTAAAGACATCTGAGTCATCAAGTTTCTCTAAAATGAAGCATTTCAGATCAAACCACCATGACTATTTTTATCAATGTCAATTGATGTTCATGTTTTCATGTTTTACATCAATTGTAGAGAATTTGTCTTTAATGATATCACTGCAATACAGGCTGAACAAGTGAATAAAAACACCATCATGGTCAGAATAACAAAAAGTGTAAAATGTATCCTAACATTTATGAAGACAACTAACAAAAAATAAGACACAATTAACAGAAACCAAAACCACAAAGAATTCTGGGTTTGTTTGATTTTCAGAAGTGTGATCACTGAGAACTGACAAGCATATCTGTCAGTAAAGTACTATTTAACTAAAAATTTTGGAGTATAAAATATAAATACATATTTTATCAGAGTATATCAGGACCAAGGTTCACTTTTAAAAGAGATTTTTTTAATCTCATTGTGACTATGCTGGTTAAATAAATGTAAAAATAAAAATCAAGTCCAAAATCTTATGTAAATGTGTATAAATGTAAAACTATTGACTGACAGTATGTTATTTAAATTGGTAACTTCTTGAAATCAGTATTGGCCACAAAGTTTTCGTACCAGCTTGGCCCAAGTACTGCAAATCAAAAGTCTTTAAGCCGTCAGAGCTAAAATCTCAAATGAGCTGAGATAATAACTTTCCAATCAAGTAAACAGCTCAACAACTGAGTAAACATGGATTTTATGTTGAGACATTGTTCAATGAGTTGTTTCATCGTTGAGGTGTATTGATCTCCAATTTCCACCAGTGAGTGCAACCATAACATGTCTCTGAGCCTGCCTCTAGACGGAACATTTTGTATTCAGTGATAAAAAGCATTCTCCATCTCCACTCACCCACGAGGTCCCACTCTCCATTGGGCATGTAGCCGGAGATATCGGCCTCACTCATCTGGAGGTCCAGCAGCCAACCGTCAAACGTCCACGAGCCGAATTTCAGCTCACACTTCTGGATGTCGAAGGGAAACCAGCGGACGTCCACATTACAGGTGCTCATGAAGATACCTAAAAATGATTATAAAATAGGTGAGACATGGACTAATATTTAACCCTTTGAATCCTATGTTTTTCATTTAGTTATTCATTTTAAGACTTCTAATTCAGTAACCACCATGAATTTGGTAAATACTAGTATGTATGTTATGTAATTGAGAGTGAGGAACTATTGTAGCAATGCAGACATGTGATTAGCCATCATCAAACGTCTTTGAAACTAGGCCAGGTGTGACTATATACGATGGATCACAGTCTTCTGAAGCCCCAGGGCACAAGGGTCTTTGGAGGCCAAAAATCAAAGCCCCTCAGGGTGCTTAGAGAAGGCCTAACTTAAAAATACAAGTCTGTAACTTTAGTTCTTTTTTTAATTCAATAGAAGCATGCTTGTATTTAAACTGCAAGTATTTCAGTACTGCTCTTGTTTCATTGTTAAGTTCTGCATGGAAACAAATGGGTTACATTTTTCAAACGCCCACTGCAAAATTATCTCTCCAAATCTGCGGTTTGGTTCAGACTTCAATTTTTGAGCCATGGTTCAGTTCATACCTCATTTTTTTCTTCTGTTTTGTTTGTTTTAGGGGGGGTGGGTGGCAAATGAGGAAGAAACAGGGAATAAATTCTGGGTTTTATTAAATCACCAACAATTTGGAACACTAAAGAGAAGAACATGGTATACAGCTTGCCATAACTTCAAACAGAATAATAATTGAATGATTTAAATGTGTTATAGTGTTAACTGTGAAATGAAAAATGAGTTTTGTTACATTAGCAATGTAATGAGAGCTCAACAAGCTGCACTAGCAGCAGTGGCAATGGGTTGGGGTTTGGGGTGAGGGGGGGGATCACGGTTCCATCTTCCGGAACCATGACATGACCATGGATGACTGTATTGTGGTGACCTTTCCTACTGGTTAGAACTTCAAGAGCTGAAGAGAAGTGCTAATGCATTAAATTACCTATCAGCATAATTATAAAGTGATAGAAGAATCAACCAATCAAATGTTGAGTTCCAATACACAGGACCAATTTTGTGAGTAAAAATGTCACTCTAGGCCTTGTGAAAGTCCCAGATACATCACTGACAGTGAATGTGAGCTGCAGCCTAATGAATGAGTTGTTAGAAACGGAAAACAGCGGCAGCATCTTTATACCAGAACTCACTAATATGTCTGACACAAGCTTCATGGAATGTCTTTTAGAAGCTTAAAATCTCTGTGTTTAATCTAGAACGGCTGAAGAAATGTTTAAGTGAATCGCTGTTTGCTTAGTACTAAAAACTACTGAAACCCCATAGGGACACAAGTAGAAATTAAGTAAAGAAGTGTTTTTTCCACATGTTTTTACATGTATGGCTGAAACCTGAAATTAAACATTGATCAAGCCGGACTTCTTTTTGAGCCTGTGCGTATGACATTCATATGTGGCCCAAAAAACACGGACCCCAAATGTTAGCATGTTTTCTTATGAACTGCAGCTTAAAGTGCACTATATGGCCAAAAGTATGTGGACACTCCTACTAATTATTGAGTTCAGGTATTTCAGCCACACTTATTGCTAAGAGGAGTATAAAATCAAGCACACAACCATGCAATCTCCATAAACAGACTGGATTGTACTGAAGAGCTCAGTGACTTTAAACATGGCACTGTCATAGCACCTTCGCCACAAATCAGTTGTGAAATTTCCTCCTGCTAGCTCTGCCCCAGGAATGTGCTATTGTATGCACTATTATTGTGAAATGAAGGTGTCTAGGAGCAACAACAGCTCAGCCACAAAGTGGTAGACTGCGCCAGCCATGAGTTTCCATTTTAGACTATTATGTGCTTCCAACTGCGTGGCAACAGTTTGCAGAACGCCCTTTCCTGTTTCAGCATGACTGTGCCCCTGTGCACAAAGCGAGGTCCATAAAGACATGGTTTGAAGAGTTTGGTGTAGAGGAACTCCAGTGGCCTGCATAGAACGCTGACCTCAACCCCACTGAACACCTTTGGGATGAATTGGAATGCTGATTGTGAGCCAGGACTTCTATGTCAGTGCCAGACCTCACAAATGCTCTTTTGGCTAAAAGGATAAAATTTCCACAGACAGTCCAAAATCTTGTCGAAAGTCTTCTCGTAAGAATCGAGGCTGTTACAGCCACAACTCTGGGCAGAGGGGGCAACTCTCTATTAATGCCCACGGTTTTGGAATGGAATGTCCAATAAGCTCATACAAGTGTGATAATCAAGTGTCCACATTTTTAGCCATATAGTGTGTCTCTCTTAAACATTTGTTTTATTAAAAAAGCTTTCAAGAAGCTGACTCAGTGTTTGCATATGAGCAATTCATTACAATGTGAAGTGAATCCAACCAAGTGCTCCCACAAAGTGCAAGTCATTTTGAGCTCAAAGAAATAAAGTACAACTCTTTCCATCACACCACCACCAGAGCACAGAGAACGTGACCCTCAGATGAGAAAGTGAGCTTTATGGGTTACTCACACACTGTCACACACACATGATGACTTAATCAAATAGATGACTAAAGCCAACAACCCAGCTCAATAAGGCACTGTGACTAAATATCAAACACGGCCGACAAACAACACTCAAGTTTCATTTTAAAGGTTTCATAAGGATCATTGCTGTTTTGATGATTAACAACAAGCTTTTAAGACTCGCAGCAGTTTCACTGATTAAAAAACTCTTAATCATCAAAAAGCTGAAACAGCATCCCGGTATAAAGGAAAACAAACCAGCACTGAAGAGAGGAGGCATTCTGAGGCCACCACACAGCCCTGACATTTCAAGTTGAACAGGATTAGCAAAGAATCAATTTACAGCTGAAACATTAGTTTCTGCAGAAATGCAAAGAGTATTCAATCAAACACAAATACAAGGATTTCCACTGATATTTCAAATTTTCTGCATAATTATATCATTAACATAAACAAAGTCATTCAGAGTGGTTTGGTGTGAAATGTTCCGTTCTAGAGAAACTTACCGAGTTGTACACAGTGGTGGTGATAGGAACCAGACGTCTGAAGAGTTTGATGTCTTCACAGGAACTTATTATGTGAAATAGTTAGAATATGCTGCCTGATGCCTGATATACTGTTTTGTCTGAAAGTTTTGAGATATTTGTATTTAAAAAACATAAAGAACTTAATTGCAGAGAGGTACATGAAGGGCATTATAAGACAAAACAGCACGGGTAGGTTCACTAGTTATTTTGGATAGCAATTAAAATGGCTCTTATTGCATTGTAAACATCAAGACCTCTGGTTCCTGTAAAGACAATGAACCACAATTAAACCACCAGAATGACTGTGTTACATTTCTACAACTGATGTATGCAGAATTCCCATTTCAATGTCCAAATAATTTTCACTAATTTTCTCCAACTTTTTCATTTTCTCATGCAGTTCCTCATAAAAGAATGTATCTGAAAGCAGATGTCCACTTGTGTGAAGCGCAGATTCCCTCTGAAAATGCTAGCGTGAAATGCTACGACTTTCAAGAAGCCCTTCTTCTCGTATTCATGCTGACCTCCATCAGTCAGATTCATTTCCACTCAATTCCACTGAAAAAGTGTATCAGATCCAGATGTCTTCATGGAGGCTAAGATAGCTGGACTAATATCTACTTCACCAGCTTTCCTTTCACCTCCTTGCTGGCTGGCCAACAGAGAGGAAAGACAGGAAATGAAAATGTCTCTGAATGAGAAACCATACAATCTACATATCGCTTATGCTAAATAAGCTGTAATATGAAATAAGATCTTGTATACAGGTGCTCTTTTCTGAAATGACCACACTTTTCTGTTTCTTTGCGCCAGCGGCATGAAAACCAATGTCGTCGGGGAAACATCCATCTATGTGTTTAGGTGTTTGTGGCGAAATGAGAGCATTCTCTAAATGACCAGAGATAATAGGCTACTGCGTGGCCAGCAGCAGCAGGAATTTCACTACCTTTCATGTCAATAAATAGAACAGAACCTGAACATCTTTTCAGCGTATTTACTCATAAAAGAAAACTGTCCAGCTGGATCAACAGAAAGCTATCATTCAGACATGTGCGCTGAGGAGATTACAACTCACAGATACATTGAGATCCTTACAGAAATGCAGCTTTTCATCTGACACTACAAAGAAAACTGTCCAGGCTGCCTGTCAACACTGAATGCAGCACGTACGTCATGTTTTTATGTGCTATTCTATGGTGTTTCCTCAAAATATGCTACACCTAATGTGTCTTTGAAAAAAAGGTTTGTTTTTTTTAAGAATGTTTCTTTGAATAATTTTGACGGCCTTATATTATGAGATCTTATTATTTTAAGATAGAAAGTTATCATTATGAGACAGAAAGTCATAAGTTTTATTGTGACTAAGTAGCTCTTAAGTATAACACATGGCTTCTATAGAATATGTCGAGGGGAAAAAAGTCCTAATTCTGGATGACAGTTTCTCACAATAGTGAATTGTATAGTAAAGTATTGGCTATTCTTACAAATCAGGGAAAATAGAACTGTTTGCTTTTCATCTAAGAAGCCAAAATGCATAAATTACCATTTGATCTTTGTATCTTCATGCACGATCACAGGACTAGAATGGGCACACAAATCATTTCTGTCAATTCTTCACTAAAACCTTTGATTCAAAGTCTCAGACGTCTAGAGACATTATCATTTTGTTATATATAAGCATTATGTAATTATAGAAATGTAATTATGCAAATGTGTAAATATATACATAGCTAGTAAGGTAATAACTGAAATTTTATTTGATTTCCATTCAGTGTGAACAGGTTAAAATCTGTAAATCCATCTTTTTTCCATTTGTTTTGATGTTAAACCATGGCAATAATGTAAAGGATTGTTTTTCTTTCTGCATAAGAATAACTTTTAATCAAATTCAAATCATCATAAATCTTGCAAGCACAAATGTGACACAAGCTGCGTTCCAAAGCCTAGGCTGCGGCATTGGTAGTGAGGGGCCTTGGTAGGACTGTCCTATGAAGACTCCTCCTTAG